AGCTACAGAGAAGAGAGCAGGAGAGAGGGGATAGAGAAGGAGGGCTAGAGCGAAATATAGGGATAGGGAGAGAAAAAGGGAGAAAGAGAGAGATAGAGATAGAGATATAGAGATGGAAAGATAGGAAAATGTAGAACAGATAAAGGAACAGAAAGTGTACTCATGCGTTGAACGTGTATGTGGATGACTTTTTGCCCAAGAAGCAGATACGAGTAGGTGATAGTTTACATTAAAATATTTACCGGGGGATGGGGACTTAAACTATTTTCAAATCTGTCTCAATCATGCACCGTTTCTTTGAAGAATTATAGACGTTTCACTTCGAAAATGCATGAAAAGTCCGTGTTCAAAAATTCAACTGCAAGCTAGAGGATGCGAAAACCAACTTGAAAATTCGTATTTCTGACGCTTATTTTTTTCTTTAAGGCCATATTGTTGCTTCAAAGCGATTATTACAATTGTACGTTGACATCATTTTTGGCAGAGGGAAGCTTCTATAACTCGCTTCAGAGATTCACAGATGATATAATTAAAAGCAATGATAATTTCGATGCACTGACACACATTTACGCGATACGAGCTTGAATCAAACTTCACAACAAACAACAAACAAAACGGAATGCGATCGATAGATACCTTCCGAATCACGAGCCATGTATTTAAATATGTTTTTAAGCCCTAATTTGGATATTTTCAACTATTGTAAGATTTCCACCGCTGTTGAATTGTCAGAGAAAAATCTCAATTTCTGGATTCTGACCGTTAAATCTTTAGCTACTGGATGTGCGTGACCTCTCCATTCGTTCAATCACTGTAAATGGAAAAGTGGTTGATTTCCGTATTGCTCCGAATGTTTACACATTCTTTGGATCCAAGATGACTGTATATCTTCCTCTAGAGTTCCAAGAAGAGGGACGCGAACTGTGAGATCGCATACTTCAGAATTTGATGGTTCGATAAATAAATTTTGTACTTTTCAGTAGTATCGTTGTCTTCTACAGCACTTCTCCAGAAGCTACCGCGCTTCAATGGATGAAAAAGGAACAGACCGCGAATCAAAAGGTAAGGTTAACCTTCTTTGGGTTAAATCTTGTAAAACTGCTAGTAAATGCTTTAGGCTCCATATTTATTCTCACAATGTCAAGCAATTCATGCGCGATCAATTGTTCCTTGTATGGACACTCCTTCAGTGAAATCTACCTATGAAGCTCAGGTGAATATCACCATGGTGTAATTTTAGTTTGCATTAGTAATGGTTGTACTCCAGGTGACAGTGCCAACTGGCCTAACTTGCTTAATGAGTGCAATCGGCGAAGGATCCAAAGGCGACGAAGAGTTTACCACATTTTTCTTCAAACAACCAGTTCCTATTCCTTCCTACCTCATCGCCATAGTTGTAGGAGCTATGGAGAAGAGAGAGATTAGCGAAAGGTCTGACTTTCTTATGGTGCTTTTAAAGATTTTTTAAAAGCAAACCGATTAAAGCTCCCTATTATAAGAAGTTTTTTTTTACTGTAGTGAAGAAGTTTTGCAGAGTTGCTGTATGGGCTGAACCGTCCATAGT